AGTTTGGTGAGCCATATGATCCAGCTGAATGGCGTTTATTCATCGATAGCAGCAAGTTGAGCTTGAAAGCCGTTTTACTGCATCAAGGGAATGAGAAACCTTCTATTCCATTAGCTCATGCCGTTAATATGAAGGAAACGTATGAATCAATGGCTCTATTGCTCAATTTGATAAATTACAATCAACACAATTGGAAAATTTGTTCCGATCTTAAAGTGGTTGCCATGTTGACTGGATTGCAACAGGGATACACAAAATATATGTGTTTTTTGTGTAAATGGGACAGTCGAGCTCGTAAGGAACACTACGTCCGAAAAGATTGGCCAAAACGGGATAATTTCACAATTGGTAAAGACAACGTTAAAAATTATCCTCTTGTGGTAAAAGAACGCATAATACTTCCACCACTACATATAAAACTTGGGCTATTCAAAAATTTCGTCAAAGCGTTGCAAAAAGAAGGGCCGGCATTCCAGTACTTGAAATCAGTATTTCCAAATTTATCCGACGCAAAGATAAAGGAAGGTGTATTTGTTGGCCCACAGATCAAAAAACTGCTCAATGATTCCGCATTCAATACAGTTTTGACACCAGATGAGGAAGAAGCGTGGAAATCGTTCCAGCGTGTTGTCACAACCTTTTTAGGAAATTTCAGAAGCCCAGATTATGAGGAAGCCGTCGATGAATTGCTCAAAAATTATGAGAAAATAGATATAAATCAAAAATATTGTGTTTGTTACATATAATTAATTTCAAATCCTTTTATTTCACTGAACACAGGTGTGAATATGTCTTTAAAGATACATTTCCTACATTCTCACATGGATTTTTTCCCGGAAAATCTTGGTGACGAGAGTGATGAGCACGGCGAACGTTTTCACCAACAAATGAAGATGATGGAACGTCGTTACCAAGGGTTTTGGGATGAAGCAATGATGGGTGACTATTGTTGGTTTCTGATTCGAGAAACAAGTTCAAAACATCGAAGACAAAGTCATTCGATTCTCAATCATTTTTAATAAAACCTAAATAAATTTCTTTTGTATCAACTCGGTTTTAAATCCTGATATGCCTTAATCAAATTGATATGTAGAGAAAAGAATCTCCCATGAAAACTTTACATGCGATTTGGATGCTTACAACGACACCTAGAAAAGGAAATCAGAAATCAGAAATCAGATTGATCGCCCACGGTTGCTGCTCTGTTATTACCAGATCAGCTGCAATTACACAGAGAACCAACAGATGATGTTTGGGACTAACATTCATCCTCAATGTGTAAGAACTGGAGATCTAATATTTAGCAATACCAGCGCCGGCCGTGTCCGAATGCAGAATGCAGGTCAACTAGGGAATGGGAAGGAATGTGTTGACGTGGTACTCGCTGTGAAGGAAACCGAGAAATCCTCTGCGCTTCCACGAGAAATCACTGGGATGTTGGAGATGTGGGGAAAGGTTGCACGCACACGCAGGGATCGTTTTTTGGTGGAGCGATTATAATACACAAACACACACACACACACACACACACGCGCGCGCACTCATCCAATTTCTATTTTTAGATCAGGACCCACACTGTGGTAAGTGATGCGATCGGTGTTAAAGAAGAATATGTTTTCATTAAAATCTAGTGGGTATAGAATAAGGCAAAGTGAAAAATTGCAAGGAAGGGGACGGGCCTGGGATTGACCTCCCGACCTTCTGCTTAGTAAGCAGAAACGTTAACCACTGAGCTACCGAGCCTCGTCAACTTACAACGACACCTAGAAAAGGAACTCTAAAGCTGTTGTATTTCAGCAACATTTTTAAGTGTTTTACAAAAATGCTCATAACTTCAACAATTTCCAACCGATTTCATCCTTTAAAGGCTCATTTTCTCCGGTTTTGAATGGAATTTAAGAATAAATTATGGAATGACTTTTTGAATATTTTTATCCCATTAAAAATGTTGATTAAAACAAGATTTTTATGGAAAATTCGCAGGAAAAATAAAAAAAAAATGCTGTAAATTTTTAAATGACTTTAAAATTAAATTTTTAATTAAGACATAATATTCTAGTGAACAATAGCAAATTTATTTAGCTTCATTTTCATAAAAAAAATTTAAATTGGTGCACTAGTTCCAAAGATATTGATATTTTAGTAATCGTACTTTTGTCCAAGATTCAAAAAATCAAAATTTTTGTGTATCTCAAAAATGGCTCTACTTTAATTTTTTCTGACCACGGCATTGAATTCAGCGTAGGATTTTGCATTGGAAATGATCATCACCTTACCGAGTTCAAAAATGCTGTAAACTAGTGTAATAAAAGGGTATATTTTTTTAAATTTAAAGAACTCAATACCTAGATAAGATATGAAATTGATGAACGAAAGTGGAAGCAAGAAAGAATGAATGCGGAAATAATAATATTAAGAAAAAGTCAAAATCAACTCAAAAAAATATATTTGAAAAATCATGATTGTGGAAAAATAATATTAATCAAATATGCAGGTAATGGGGGATAATATCAGGAATAATGATTTCAATCGATATTGAAGGCACAAATAAAAAAGTTATTGAGCATTCAAACCCCTGTACGCCGTTATCATCGTCGTCGAAGGACTCCACCGACCTCATCGGCATCACGAATGAGGAGGAGATATAAGTAGAATAAACGTTTTTTACCTTGTACAGACATACAAAGTTCACTGTTGTACTACCGTTGTACTGCTTTAAGCTAGTACCACAAATTGTACGTTTTGAGGTACTAGATTAAAGAAGTATAACGGTACTAATTTGTATGTCTGTCTGTGGTATTAGATCGTACTTATTTCTTGTTGTTGTTATTTGTCCATCCGAAGTCCTGTCTTGGAGGAAGTACCCTAACTCGAGGCCACCAGCCGGGGTAAATCGGGCCAGCTATAGCCTGTCAGTGGCAGGTAAGCCGCTTCTTAAAAAGTGAAAAAAATAAGATTAAAAAAACTCATATATCTTCAAAAGTAAACAAGATACGAACTGGGTTTCTTGGACAAAGTTCTTTGAAAGAGTATTTTCTACAACTTTTGTCAAGCAACCTACCTTGTATATTGAAAAACTGAAAAATATCGATCTCACTTTTAGGGGGATTAATCATCAATATGAAAACATAAAGCTCATTAGCGTACCAATAAACTTATTCGAAGAATTCATACCTCTAAAATGTTTTATTAAGACGCTAACTATTAGGCGCACGAAAATGACATTTTCAACCTTTGTACAATTGGCATTGACGGTGACTCTGTAGCTCTTTACTTCTATGGTAAAATGCATAAGCAAACGTCAGACTGTGAGTGAATCATGGCGGACTTCGTACTACCCTTTCACTTCATCGAAAATTCCCGTAAGAAACTGTCAATCTTTGCTAGAAGAGACGATTTTTCGACGGTGCCATCAACGCAAATAGGTGGATAAATTAGGATTTTAATTACTTGTTGTTGTTACTTAAAAAAAACTATGTTTTTTCCATCGAATGAATTAATGAATAAATGAATAATGTGTCACATTGTTTCGGTAAAAATTATTGCAATGCTGGATAAAGCCTGCAGAGTCAACAAGGTGAAGTGTGCAGCAATTGAGTAGTTCTCAATCATTGGAATATTACCCTACTACGGTTTTTGTTTTTTGTAGTTTATATTACAATAGATTTTTTTGAATCACTTCCTATGAAATGCATGTGAGTTTCATTTGTAGTTACCTATATATATATGTATAGTGATTAGGGCGTACCGTAAAACGGGGTAACATTGATAGTTTTTTAAAGTATATTCTAAATATTTTTTACAGCAATGAATGTTTTTCAAATTTTATATTTTTAAAACAAGTACTGAGGATCCAAGAGTTAATTCTTTAGTAATATGTTGAACGAAAATTAAAGCATTTGCACTATTTTTTTAGTTTTGTGAGCGAACTTCAGTATTTTGATTTGGGGTTACTTTGATAATGCTCGATGAATGTAGAAAAAAAAAATGAGTGAAACTCAAACAATTTAGTTCCTTAAATATGAAACTTTGAATGAGTATATAATCAGAAAACTTCATAAGCAATAAGAATACAACATTGAATTTGTAATGGCTGTATCGGAAATACAATTCATAAGTGATGGTTTGAGTGCTTCTTCAAAAAAGCGAAAAACACGACAAAAATTTTTGTTTTTAATGTTTTTTAAAATATGTAACACATACTATGTAAAAACTATATACGATATCAACGGAAATACCCTAAGCTATAATATGGAACCAATGTTTCTTATTTGGAAAAAGCACAGCGAGTTAATTTATTCTTTATATTATACTATCAAAGTTACCTGGATTATCAAAGATACCCCGTTTTACGGTACATGCTATTGTTAAAAAAACAAACAGATTAATCGCCGATTTCTCGGAAGCTCAAACTTGCAAACAAACTATCTTAAATGGTAGAAGAATCATTCCTCTACCTGATTGTTGTTAGTTTCCGAGATTGAGCTTTTATTCGCAAGAGATCGATGATTGTCGTATTTGTTTACAAAAGCATGTATGCCATAATCGCGGATCAGTTCGGAAATTTCGTTGGGCCTGTGGAATGTAAACATACACCAAACGCGCAAACCTGATCTCCTTGGCAATAGTTCACGATTCTGCATCAGCAAATCATGATCACGGCATCGATCTGACTTAAGTTGAATACCATCGCAATGACGCCATGGAGAAAAGTTGTTCTACAACTTGCGAACCGGCTGACGAGCCTCCTATCGGCGTACTTCACACGATAATCATAGCATTATTGTAAGAACGAGTGGTAGGCATAATGGGAAAACGTGCAGCGTTCGCAAGTGCACAAGGTTCGCGCTATTATCGAAGCTGCAGTGTGCAACAGGTTTTGGGAACTCATCCCAACCTCATTACCAGGGTGTAATTTACAATAGTGGCCTTACCGGTTTTGCTTATCGATTGCCAAAATGAAACGGTAGTAAATATGATTATCAATGGACTGCACTTACATCATCGAGCTGGCTTGTGAGAATTCCCCGTGATTGAACTAAGCTGAGAATGTGCTGCAGGAAAACAGTATTGGAGATGACACTCGGTTGTATGCCGGCCAGGCAGTAGCGTCCCTGGAGATGGTGCTGGTCTGCGGCATTGTTTTTCTCGCCGCCGCGAATACTCAGACACTGATCGTAATCTCCGAACTGGTTGATGTTTCCATTCAGAATACCGGAGTGCAGTTTTGCACTGGAGTCGTGCACTATGGGAAGGGAAGCGAAACAGGGTTACATAGAATGCAACTATCGTGTTGACCGGTGTAATTGCCTCATTAAACAATTTACTTACTCCGTAGGGCCCACATGTCCATCGCTCGAAGGGAGGTTAGGTATCGTTTGGCTGCTCGCTTGCATTCTGTTGACACCTGTTCACTGTAGGCCGGGTCGAACGGTGCATGTATCGCGAAAAACTTTTGACTCAGTTTGGCAACGAAATCTGGAAATAGACAAGGATAAACGAGGAAGCACAGTTACAACTGGTTTCTATTGGCGAATATGGAACGAGGCCAGCTTGAACTGCATTCATGTAGGTCAAGGTCATCGACCGAGCAGCGTTAAATTTTGCAATCCGGAATTTCCTTAGATATGGATCGCCTACAGCAACACGAGCTAACATGCAACAAAGGGATTTCGATTGTTCTGGAATTATTTGAAAACCATCGAACGTAGAAATGCGGCACGCAGTGCGAACGAATGGTGCATTTAAAATTTTGTTCGTATAAATTGATATCGGATTGCAATGGAGAGGGTACATCATCATAAAAGCGAAACTGATGAGGATGGCATATTAATTTACGAACTGAAGCTTTGTTGTACCTTATGATTGATGAGTAATGCGATGCATCATAATGCTTCACGATTTGCATAACTGATCACGCTACAGAGTTAATGTAAAGTTTGTTTCTGGTCCACGTAATTGTTTGAACAGGTTAGACAAATTTAAAAAGAACCAATTTACAGAGCAGTGTCAAATATTTGAATATTTCAGCAATAACTATACAAAAAATATGATTAACTACTAAGTAGAATACTACAAGCCGTTTTTTTTGTTTTCACTCGAATTCGAAGACATCGGCGATGGATATGTTTGTTTACAAAGCAATTAAGCCCAAATCTCGAATCACTCCGGAAATGCGAACCTTTGTCAAAATCGTCAATGACTAAGTTTTATTTCATGTACATTTACTCCAATCGTTGCTATCTCACTACATATTGCTGATTGCATCTGAAACTGGACTGTCCCAAAAATGCAAAAAGTGTGATAGAAGTGCACATTTCCGTCAAATCGTTTAGATGTCTTGGGAGCACTTATTGCTTGCATCATAAGGAATAAGTGCACCGAAGACACCAAGACGATATGATGTAAACTTGCAATTTTATCACACTTTTTAATAAGTGAAAACGCGCTTATAAGTCCAATTTGGTGTGAAATGCGCAATAATTCCTTCCTTTTAATTAGCTACAGGTCAGGACAACGATGGGGAGTTCACTATGTTATATTTTCATTTTATTTCAGAAACCTTATCTTCCAGCAGAAGCTCTGAGCAGCAATTTCAACATTTATAAAAAATCTACATTTGCCAGCAACACTGACTATGTGTATCCTATGCTCACCTTCCCTACTAACATAATTTCACAAAAATCAGCTCTGTCAGAAATGAAGTTTTTGTTGTTGTTGCGAGGAGTTGAACCAATGGTCCCAATAAAAAAAATAACTTTGACTTTGATTAAGGTGGGCTACAGTCCAACTAAAACGTAGCCCACTTGAAGATTGAGAGAGTATAGTTGCTTCATAGTCTGGCGGATAGAATCTCGGGAATCAATTGAGCTGTCAAATAGCGGAACCAATCGAGCAAATTACGACCAACAACAGAAAAGAGCACATCAGCTATTGCGAACAAAACTTCGGAAACCCTTTTCTCTTGACTCAAGGCTCGCCTACGCAAACTAACACCATCTTTGGGTTGAGAAAAGTTTCCCTTATCCGATGATGCCGGTAATTTGCGTTCGATTAGCGAGGAAAGAATATTCAACGTTTTGTTTATAAAAGTTGATAGTACCTTTTCAATTGTCGGTCTAAAATACATTGAATTGATTCCGCTTTTTAATAGATCGAAATTCTATCCACCAGACTATGATTATAGCGACTATACTCTGGAGGTGGTTTGTTTACATAGATTTAAAAAAAAAAATCAAAAAAATCCAAAATCTAAAAAAAAAACTAAAACAACAATATTTTTTGAAAGAACATAGTGGGATATCTTTGAGTAATTATTTATCCAAACGCTTAAATTAACTTGAATAAAAGGTAAACAAACCACCACTGGATGTCAAACTGATTAATGTGGGTTCATCGCGTTCCTTCGTGACGTCAGCGTGCAGTAACCTATGTATCTGAGGCGAAATTTGTTCTTTGTTAATTTATACTCACCCTATTCTGTATTTCGTTCGAAACGAAATTCTCATACATAAAAATATATTTTTTTGTAAAGGAATTTCGTTTTGAACGAAATACATAAGGTGAATATCTCGTTTACTTTTTCGAAGGGACGTATCAGCTTTTGTAAACAATGCATTTGATCGTCAATTTGGCGTAACTGGTAGCTCACCCACGCATACTAACACTACCATCAGATAGAAGAAACTTTACCCTACCTGATAGTGGTGTTAGTAGGCGTAGACGAGCTACCAGTTACGCCAAATCGACGATCAAATGCATTGTTTACAAAAGCTGATACGTCCCTTCGAAAAAGTAATCGAGATATAGCAATTGAAGGAAATGCTTTTCCCCTCTAAACTACATAATTACGCAATGTTTTTCAATAACCCATCCGAACGTTATAACTCGAGAAGATGAGAAAATCCGAAGTTATTTCAGTCTGTAGCAAGACTTTGATATAAGTGAAGGGGAGGCGATACAATAGCCATCCTCTTACGCATATTAGATTGAGCATTTTTGAATAACACATCTGAACATTCCAACTCGACACAAAGAGAAACACCGAAATTATTTCAGTTTGGAACTTTATTTTCATTGATATGAATGAGGGGATAAGAATAAAGTTAGAACCCCCTGTACGGATCAAGAAGGATAATAAGAAAAACTGTATTGAATTTGACAAGCTCGTAAAGAAAGATGAGAGGTATGTAGTGAGAAAAAATGTTAACGGAATTGAAAGGGTTTTTAAATAGCTGAATAATACGAGGGAGAGAAGTAGAGAGACTGAGAAGTCGACAAAGGAGTAATAGAGGGGGAGACAAAAGCGGAAAGAGAACAATTGTATCAGGAGAGAAACAGAGAAATAAAAAAAAATAAAAGACAGTCTTGTGATTGGCTTTAGTGGAGCAAGATCAATGAGTTATTCTTTACTTCAGAGATGCCAAAAGAAAGTTTTGAAATATCCGGAAAGACACGACAATGGCGTAGCTCGGTAAGTGTGAATGAACCAGATTTATCCTCGTTATGAGCATGAGGTGTTAGTCCATAGATGTAGCCAGAGGGGGGCAGGGGAGGACAACTCCCAAGTAACATTTCAAGTTTAAAGAGGTTTTATAGCATTCTACAAGTCTTAATCACGGTCTACAGAACGACCATAAAACCAAAATTGTTACTTGGGCTGCCCCCCCTAAACTCAACAATACAAAGGCTTTCGGTAAAATGGAATTCGACCAAATTTTCCATAGTAAATTTTTTTTTCGCCCCTCCCTAGCTCGAAACCTGGCTACGCCCTTGTGTTAGTCCCCTGAGAGTGTAAATTAATTCCCTCGAGAGGGTAAATACTATTCCCCTGAGAGGGTAGATAAAATTCCCCTGAGAGGGTAGACAAAATTCCCCCGAGAGGGTGTATCATATAAGATGTAATTCCCCTGAGAGGGTATACCGGTAATTCCCCTAAATTAATAACTGGTTGAACACCGTTACGTTTTCCCACCACAAAGTGAGAGCGGTGCGCTTGGTTCAACAATCCAACGTTTTTTTATGTCACCAGCACTATCCACGTATGTATGAGTATCATTGCCTCAACCTCACTCTAACTACTCTGTAAAAATCAAGCCGAAGTAGTACGTATGAGTATCATTGCCCCGTAACGTGGGTAGATCACCTTTTCGTGGTACGTTACGGGATGTAAGATCTACCACCGATTACTAGTCGTGACTACTTCAAACTAAGGGAACAGGATTTTTCAGTAATCAAAAGAAAACATCTTAGTCCTTGTTACTTTTTATGCCTTGTTGATAGTGGCAAGACTTGGCTTTGTTTACCGAGGATGATCTTGAAACAAGGAAAAAAATGAGTTAGTTGTCTTCATCTATGTGATTCCTAATCTTCTAATCGTTGTTCCCTAGTTTGAAGTGGTTAAGACTAGGGTTCTGATACATGGTCATTATCGGTGTCATACCTTAATTTTGTTGCTAAGGAATCCAATTTTGACTGACAAAGGGGCGCGCCTTTGGAGGGTGTTTCAACACTCCGAAGGGTATAAATAGCGGAACCTTTCAGTTAGAATCGATTCCGTGCGACGAAGGCAAGAATGACAACTGTATCAAAACCGAATACTTCATCATTTCTTAATAGTGATGGAGTAAAACGACATGCACTAAACTAAGGACACGGGATATACTACAATAGATCAAATTACTGGTCGCAGTAGTGTTAGGTGCCGAACAGAGGAAAAAAAATCATTGCCTCAAACTCACTCTAACTACTCTGTAAAAATCAAGCCGAAGTAGTGCGAGTGCAAAAAAAAAAAAACACAAACAGGTGTAATATACCGACGACGAACTTTGTGACGTGAGAATGGGAATCGAGTCGGGAATTTGGCCTCGAAGACTCCGGCGCTACGAATCTCAATCTAAGTATCTGAGAAGTATGGATCCTCTGGTTTTCAAAGATCATCATATTGTTTTACCAACGAGTCTAAGAGGGCGGGCGTTGAAAGCAGCTCACCAGGGACATCTAGGATGTGGAGTGACTAAACGAATCCTTCGCGAGTTCTTCTGATGGCCCAACATGGCGAAAGAGGCTGACAATTACGTGATGAGATGTGAAACATGTCTATTGATTTCGAGATAAAACTCGCCGGTGCCACTAAGTAGCCGCTTACTTCCAAACGGGCCTTGGGAGATCCTCCAAATCGATTTCTTATTCATCCAAGATTGTGGTTCAGGTCATCTACTGATGTGCGTTAATACATATTCACGATACCTACACGTTGTAGAGATGAAACACACGGATGCCATTCATACAAATGTGGTTCTGTGTAAGATTTTTACAGTTTTGGGACTTCCCTTAGTACTCCAAAGTGACAACGGCCCACCGTTTTAGAGTACAGAATTCATAGATTATTGGGAGGCAAAAGGAGTGCGAGTACATAAGGCAATTCCACTCAGTGCTCAATCGAACGGTGCTGTTGAACGGTCCAACGTGATCAAGGC